CATGCCTGTTGTGGGCACACATCGGGGGAGGCATGTACCCCCCCACCCCTGTCCCACACACCCCCTGCCCCATACACTGTGGGGCTGGGGCCCAGGGGTGGGGAACTGTGGGTTGGAAGTGAGGGGCACCAGCAGGGCCAGGGGGCTGTTTTCTATTTAAACTATTTACTGGGTTGGGATTGGCCATCAATGGTTACAAATGGGCCCTGGTACAAAAAAAGTACCACTGCCATAACATACCAGACCCAATCATACTAGATCTGCATCAGCCTGACAATATCTTCTTGCACAAGTGGCTGACTTGCTTTGCCCTAAGTTTTAAGGACTGGCATGTTTATGGTGGTATCATTGTAGAGGTTCTCTTGCCACATACGTTATGCCAGACTGATTATTTAGTATAAGCTTGACCTCTGATCACATGGCAGTGAGTCCCAGGGTGAACAGCAGGACAACCCAAAATTACTTCTTTTGATCAGTTATTAAATGAGCTGTTTTGGGTTGTGGACAGACAGTTTTCAACTGCTTTGAAAGGGGGGAGGGACTTGCCCATTGGGAGCAGGCATCAGTGGTTAGGATGCAACTATAATTTCTGTTCCTAAAGCCATGTACGTGAGCTAAACAACTATAGCTTTAACACTGAATGAAACAGGGTTAAAATTACAATGGCTTTGCACTTATGTAGGAGCACGCAGATTGAACAGTTAGAACAGCTTATAGCAGTATCATTCCATACTCATGAAACTCTTATGTCTGTATATACTCCTTCTTTCATGGCCTGCTTGTAAGTGGGGAAACCCTTTGTTATGTCTACACTTCATTATCTCTCTCACCTCTGCTGTTTCCTCTTGCTCTTCCTTTCAAATTAAATAAGTGGAAGTCAGATTTTCAAAAGGACTACATGTCACCGATTTTTCAAGAGGACTTACAGGGCTAGGATATTTATGATGTTTGTGAAATTGGACTTAAACTCCTGAGTAACCTAGGCACCTTTGAAAATGTTCACTGTCCCCTACCCCCCATAGCCTCTCTCACACCCACATGCTTCTTATCTCTCTCTCTCTGCCCTTTCTTTGACCGACTGTGGCTTATTTTATCAGGAGAAGGTGGCTAAATTGGAAGGCCATATTCAGAGATCCAAAAAAATCAAAGTCAAAGGCTGGCCCAAGCCTAACAGCCCACTGAACTAGCAGAGTTAAGGCACACCAGTTTCTATATCCAGAGGATATAGAGCACTAGAGGAATGATAGGGTTAGCAAGGCATCCAGCTGTCTTGGATTCACCAGCCCCACAATGATCAAGCACCTACTTAGAGCTAGGTTGATTAAGGGGGCAGATTTCAACACAAGTCCAGGGTACAGCTTCAAGCTCACCCCTCTGGAGCTCTAGCAGGATGCACCATGCTACTCTGCCATGCTACAGTCAAAGATACCACAGGTAAAACCTACTGCTGCTTGAGTGTACAATCAGAAATGCACTCTAAGGGGTGAGAAGGCAGGACAAAGCTCCTGCGTGGGGATGGACTTAAAGCAGATTTTCTCCTGGCCTTGCAGTTCATTACTTTTTCCCCGTCCCCACTAGGCTGCTGCTCCCTTCCCTTCTCTTCCCCACTCAAGAGCCTGGTTCCTCCACTTCGTTCTCAGCTGGCACTTTACCACCATGTTTTCCTGGGCTTGTTTTCTCAGCCTCTTCCAGGGATCTATTCCCAGCTTTCTCAGCAGGACCTTCTCATAATATGTTCTGGCTTGTGTATGAAGCTGCTGCTCTCTCTCCAGCCTTCTCTGCTTCTCCAGTTCTTTCTGCAATTCAAAGAGCTGAGGTTTAACTCATCCTGGTAACCTACATAACCATAGTCTGTATATGGGGAGTCTAAGCTGGCAGGAAATGGGACTCTGTGGCTCATTTTAATAGTAGCATGAGAGTGATCAAATAGCTCTGCAAACACACACATCAGCTGCTTCTGAAATGAGTCAGCCAGCCAGGGCCATGTGTTGCAAAGGCATCAATCTCTCTTCCTCAAATGATTGGGAAGGATGGTCATGTCTACAGAGAGAGTCACTCCAAACATTTAAGTCAAAGAAACAGAGAACCCAGGGAATGGGCTATGGACCCTGGTTGCTGCTGCTGTAGTATCACTTGTTTGTTCAGGTGCTACCAGGGCTCACATCATCATGACAGAGTGCCCATGACATACAAGCTTACTACAACTTGCTCATATAATAAGACCCTATTTCTGTTGCTTGTATGGACACTGCATCCCCACTTGCGCGTCTGTAAGCTGGTACAGAATTCTGCATCACCTAAGTGCCATGGATCAACTGTGAACCTTTATGAGGAAAGTTCCTCAGTCTGAACATTGGTTCTGAAATCTAAGCCTAGCTGCTTGGGGGATGGTAGACATTTTTTAAATGTACAGTGGTCTGATGTACAGGAAGAGAGGCCAGCATGCCTCATTTTTGCTCTATGTAGAACAGTGCATCTAGGTCAGATTCCTTTGAGATTTAAAGCATCATGTTATTTCAGTTTTTGGCACAGCCCATTTCCTCAGCAATAACCTTGAGGTGGCAGCACGTGGGCATAGCAGAGGAGGTGCTCCCACTCACTGAAAACTTTGTAAGTCTTATTTAGCTTGGTCTACACATTTAGGAGTGATACAGCTGTGTGAGAGCTGGGGACATGAGCAGAAGAAAACAACCCAAGTGAGATGGAGTTGCTGCACAGCCCACCACAATGCAAGCTTCCCCCACACAACCTGGTTTACTGGTGTACCTCACTAGAGAGAACACCTGGGGACAAGAAAAGGCCCCTCAATGACCCATTCAATCCTCAGTACCTCTACCGAGACTGCCAGGAACAAGCTGACAACTGTAACACCTGGCTTTGTTCTGCAAACACCAGTCTCTCCACTAAGATCTTCAACCCATTTCAATCGGGCCCCTGAACAGCCATGAAAGAGTTACAGCACTTGCTCTCTAGTGTTGTGACTGTGGGCCAAATGCATGCCATGTTCTGTTCACCAGTTTCTGCTGCCTCTTCTCTTCTCGCCTTTTCTCCAGCTGGGCCTCTTTTTCTGCAGCCTCCTTTTTCTGACGTTCTTCTTCTTCAGCCTTCAGTTGGGCCTTAAAAATAAGGAAGTGGGTAGGTTTGAATTGGAGTTGCCATATTTGATTTTTTTTATTATTGTTTTAGAGGGAGGTGGTACTTTCAGAGTACAAGTCTACCAAGGTAAGCACTTTGTCTCTAATAGGGACCAGTAACGAGCTTCAGGGGAAGGCAGAAAACCCCTCCGAATGAACATGGCCTTTTGCGCAGTGATCTATAACAAGGTAGGGAAGGACACAGCATCAAACACCCTGGAGTAGAATATTTGACCACATGTCTCTAGGACTGGTTAACTTTACATGTTAGTGATAGTTACTCAGCTCTAGCCTCCCAACCAGCAATGAATTCCACAGGCCATTTCTGCAACCTGTGAAGTTCCACTTTTACTCCCACACAGAAAGCTACCAAAGTTATGGTTTCTTAACTGTCTTTTCCACAGTGCACCACAACCACTAAATCAAAGATGTTTAACTGAGGCAGCATTCATGAGATGCCCTTCATAATACTGCTTATTCCTATCAAGAATCTCTTCTGTCTGCATCATGGATTGCTTTCTGTTCAACAGTAGTGTTACCTTTGGTTCACACATCAAATAGCTGAAAACCACACTACAGCTCCCATCTCTACCACTGCACTGCCTGTTCTCTTTAAGCATGTTAATTGTAGATTGGCAAGCTGATCTGGGTCCTTGCCCGCCTCCAAGTTAAAGCCACTTCTAAGGGTTGGGTTATCTTCCTGCATCTGTCTCTCTCTTAGAAGGTACAAAACACCTCAGTTGCTGGTGGATCCTTATTTTGGGTGTCCTGATGCTTGTGCAGCTAATGTCACCACTTTCAGAAGGTCATGCTGTTGAAGGAAAAATTCAAGCATGCTGCATAACCTAAGGAGAGCCCCTGGGACAGAAAAACTGACATGGCCTCCTTCTAATGCACCTGACTCAGATCCTTGGATGTTCCCCTCCTGGGAGGTAGCAGGGCCAAGGATTTCGAACAGATTACCTGCTTTCATGGTTTTCAGCACTTATTTCCCTTACAATATGGTATTTCACAACTGAAAAAGTCCCTTTCCACTCCAACATTGCTGTAATTTGTTCAAAACTGATACCTTGTGTGTCTCTTAGATCTAAGATGCTTAGGGTAGAGTGGGGCTGACCTTATTAATTGCAAACATCCACAGAGTGTTGCTAAATCATCTTTTCACTTTGGGAGAGGTTTAACAATAAATAAAAAGGTAGGGTTTGCTGTGCTGGATCAGATCAAAAGTCAATCCAATGCTGTGTTCCCCTGATGCTACAAAGGAAGGTATGAATGTGTACAATGCACGTGGCCTGATGTGCAATGCAGCATTTAAGTGGGTAGAGGAGAGAGAGGATTCCTACTCAACACCTGCTTATGACACCAAAACCCAGAAACCTAATGATACTGTAGGGGAGATGAATAGAAAGAGGAAGAGATTATACCATCCTGGATAAGTGCAGATCTTTACTAACTTCCCCAGAACCATTATACTATTTCTTAGGTGGGTTGAAAATGAAACAAGTCCACCCTTGGACTGTGGAAGGCAGAGACTAGTGTTTCTCTTCACTCAACCGTGAGCCCTGACGACCATTCAGGAATGGCACTGATGGGCTCTGAAGAGATCCCATGCAAGCCTCCTTGGATGAAGGTATAGTGGCACAACATGGGGCTTTAAGTAGAAGTTGGGAAAGAATGGGTTTCCAGTGCTACAGAAGGGAGAACACCAACTCAACAGGTTGCATTTGTGTATGTCCTGTTGTAGTCTAGCAGGGTTAGAGACATGAGGGAATGCTCCTGCAGAAACTTTTGTGGGGATTCTTAGCGCGCATAGCAGCCACTGATCATTTCATGGTGAAAGCCCTTCAAGCTCAAGTTTGCAATTTGGATGAAGGGCCTTTTCCAGCCCTTGACTATGAGAGGCTTTCTTTCACAGTAGCTCTCAGCTCTGCTTTACTTACCAGTTTTTCCTCCTCTCGCTTTCTCTTTGCCTCTTCCAGTTTCCTCCTCCGTTCAGCTCGCTGAATTGCTCTCTCTTCCATGGCTAGACAGTGAGGAACAATGGTATATAGAGTAAATAAATGTCAGGGCAGAAGTTTGGGCCAAAATGAAAATGGAGCTCCTGTCTCGCACCTCCCACTTGTGCCTGGCCTGGCAGTGTTGGTGTGGAGAAGCTCAGGCCCCACCAACTTTTTAGTGGAGGAAGAATGCTCAGTCCTTTGTGAGAAGAGTTGGGGTGCCTCACTCTGATTAAAACTGACCCTCACTCACAGCAACAGTGGTAGGCTGTGGAAGGAATCATTGCTACCACAGCTGGCTTTTAAGGGGAAGAGGTAAATGCAGACAATCCCTGCTCCTTTCTTTCTCCTATCCCCCTGAGACACACAAGAGCATTAGGAAAAAGACATATGGGGCCAGGATATGATAAAAATCTGGAGCAGAAAATGTAAGATTGGAGGTTCTATATTAGCAATAAAGACAGTTCTGCCAGCAGCATCTCTGGGAATGGCTACTTCAGGAGCAGCCTGGAATTCCCACTGATTTCCCTTGAGAAGAGAACCAGTGCTTTTGTGCAGCACTTGAGGGAGTCATTCAATCAGGTTACAAATCTTTCCAACATTAAAAACAGTCCAACATATCTAGTCAACAAAAATTATTTGCTTTCAGGGTAATTAATACAAAATAAGCTTTCCAATCCCCACAATGTCTTTTGTCTTTACAATATTGTTTTTACTAAAAGGTCCATTCATGAGAACAGACTCTTCATGCCATGGTCAGATTGGTATGGACCGTGGGGATTTTTGCCTTCCTCAGTAGCAGGGGACACGGCCCTTTACCTGGGATCTCCTGAGCACATATAAAAGGTTGTTAATAGAAGCAGGAGGTTAGATGTTATGGTCCCTCTGTTCTACCTGCAGCAGGGTAGGGTGTTATGTCTTGTGTTATGTTAGGGCTGATGGTAGTTTCATGAATAGTTTAGATTATGGATCATATAGGGTGGTTTGGATAGGGATGATCCTGCCTCAGGCAGGAGGATGGACTAAATGACCTCTGGAGGTCCCCTACAGCTCTGCTTCTCTGTGATTTCTATGTTTTCTATGCAGGAAAAACTATGCCTAAATGGTCAGCCAAAATTCAAATCCTGGAAAGCCCTTAGGGTATTAGCTATATGACTGAAGAACTGCTACTAGATCAGAATTTATTCCATGGCAGAGTATGAGAGCTGGGTTTTGCTCTGAGTCATGTAGCAGTAGAGTCAGCAGAAAGCCTGAAAAAGCCAAGACGACCTCTCAGGAAAGAGCAGTTTGATACAAGCTGTGATAACAAAGCTATAAAGCTCTTCCTCAAGTAGAATGGAGTAGGTTTTAGACATGACTGGCAAAGTCTTTTCTCTATAACAGCATCAAAAAAGTGTCCAGGAATGAAGTGTACATAGATTTGTGTTCCCTTTGTGGCGAATTAAATTATGCACGAAAGGCAGGAAGCACAGAGGGTCAGAATTCCTAGAATTACAATCTAAGGCTAGACATGGAAGCCTGTATGAGCCCCAAGATCTAAAATGTCTTCAAGAGCCAATCCCTCCACCAACAACAGCTGGGGAAGTTCCTCATTTACCAATATTGGTCAGACTTTGAGAACGTTGGGAAAGAATTTTCTGCATGACTAATCTGGATGCTGAGGCATGAGGCAGCTGATTTAATGGCCACTGCAATGAGGTTTCAAAGAAGCCTTGACAGCTAAGCTGGTGAGAAGGGCAAGAGCCATGATTAGTGGAGTGGAGGTCCAA